TGGATCAAGTTTTTAGCAAATTGTGTCCAGATGAATATGCTTTATTCAAGAAACTTTTTTATTAAGCAAATAATTTATATTATTCCTTAAAATTGGACGTAAATTTGGAATCCGAATTTAATGTTTATGAAAATCATACAAAGCTTATATTTATCAAGAAAAATTACTAGCTAATGAAAAAAAAATTGCCAGAAAATTAATCAAATCATTAAGAAGCAATGACAATTTCACAATTCGAGAATTCGTTCTTTAAGAAATTTATAAGAAATTGTTATAATTAATTTTTTAGAAGAAATTGTTCTTATAGATTATTGTAAGTTGTTATCATTAATATATATATTTTTGAATGTATTAAATAAGTATTTAATTTTCTCTTTGTTTTGATTATAGCTAATACTGTAATTGTATTATTGAATTTTTTTGCCTATCTCTCTGGGTAAAAAATCAACTTTATTCATAGTATAAGCTAAATGATTCATTTATTGATTAATTATTAAAGATCTCTATTGATTAATCTGAAAGGCCATCATATCAGTCATCCAAGGAAGAATTATAAGACGTATGAGTTATAAGTCAACTGAATCAATTGGCTATTCAAATATTTTGAATAAGCACGATCTGGTATATATAATGTATTTACAAATAAGTTATGAATTATAACTTCTATTATTTAACAAAATATTCTACAAAATTCCTAGAATCGGAAAGTCGAAGTTCTTATCATTTGTTGGTAAATTTTCTTTGTCGTCTGTTGGTGCCTTCTCTATCATGTTACGTAATTATTAACAAATTCTTCTACAAAATTTCAGATCAGAATTTCAAAATCTAATAATGTAACCATGTCGCATAATATAAGACGATAAGTATTTTTAAATTAGTTTGCATATGTATATTTCAACTCAGATAGTTGATATGACTAATAAGCAATATATATAATAATTGATTTTAGAATATTTAGTTAAGCCAAGCAAGTATATTACAATGGCTTAAGTATAATATTCAAAACAATTTAATTTTTTGTATCTTATATTATACTTATAATAAAAAATATCTTTGTAACAAGTAATAAATATAAATACTTTTATATAAAATAACAAATATATAGATAAATATTAATTAATATTTGTATTAGGCTTAAAAAACTTTAAACTTTATATTATAAAGAATATGCCAAAACTAAAAACTATAATAATTTATATAAAAAAGATTAAATTATTAATATATTATCAAATATATTAATAGTCTGTAAAGTATTGCTAGGGTTTGAGTAAACTTTGCAAAGGCAAGAAATAGGTGCTGCAAGTACTTGGCTGCAGTTGAGGTATAAGTTATTAAAAATCTAAATAATATATATGGGACATAAACTGCTTTAGTACTTTATCATAAAGATAAAAAACTCCTCTATATAATAATATATATTTACTTTCATCAAGAAATTTTATATAGAGATATATATCAATTGATAACCCTACTAGATATATATCAATAATAATCACCCTGCTGGGTTATATTGATTATAGTATATAACAATATATAATGGTTTAAGGCAATCAATATAAATCGATATGGATATCAATCAATATATAACAGGTTCAAACAAGTAAGTTTTTTTTTAATGATACTAAAAATACTATATAGTACAAAACAAAATTTATATAATACGTAATTTTTATAATACTATATATTGGTATAAGCAATATATAATTATATTGCAGCATATATATTATTATAATATATACAGCACAAATACATAATTTTATTACAGATTATGAATTTAATATATAATAAATTGCTAACAAATGCAACTAATTTAAAAAAATACATTTGAAGCAAAAACATTAATTACAACTAAATAATTCATCAGCATCCTTCTGTGAAAGTTTTATTTAATGCTGAGATAAAAATAAATCATCTTGTTGAGATGATGAAGGTTCTGCTTCAGGTTAAGTTTCATACTGAAGTGATGCTTGTTGTGAACTACTATCATGATGTGTATTTTTATTGTCTAGTCTAAATTGTACAATGAACCACCATTACTGAAATCATTCTATATTATATTAACAATGATTAAAAAATATTAATTAATTATAATTAATAATTATTAATAATATTACTTAAAAAATATCTTTTGATATAACGCATAAGGTGTTTTTTCATACACGTAATGCTTTTAGACTAGGGATTTAATAAAAGATTGCAGACCACAAGCATAAAGGCATAGTGCTTATTGAAGAATATAGGTATAGCAATCTCAGAGAAGCCTGACTTTGCAATTATAGATATCCAAAAAACACCTTCATAATTTATTTTAAAAAGCAAACAAAATCAATCGCAAACTTCTTCACTTTGTTTCTAAATTATAATATCCACTGATGCAGTGTTTCTTTTTAACAGAGGTATCATTTACATATAAATATATACTAAACTGCTGCCCTTATGTTTTGAACCTACGCACCTTGAAGATTCTTCATCTTTTGCAATAGCTATTGCCAAAAATAATAATAAATCAAAAAAAAAGAAGCATAAATATTAAAAAAAAATAAAAACAAAAAAAAAAACAAAAAAATGATAACTATTAATATATACAGAGCTGAACTATTTTTTATAAAACCTATTGGTATATTAGTTGGAACTTAAATTATGCATAAATTCAGAGAACTTCTCTTCAAGATATTGTCGAAGAGTATCTTTTAATATATTTTGGCTAAAATATATATAGTATGAGAAGAGCTGCTTAACCACACAGGTAAACACATCCTATAATATATATATTATCTTTCAGTATAAACCCAATATGCTATAAACCACTAGAACCTAAATTTATATAGCAGATTTGTTGCAAAGATAAAAAAACAAAATATCTACATCTATTACTTGTGTGAAGAGATTGTTATCTTGTTTATCCTATTGCCTTTTCAATTGCTCTAGCCTAACTTTTATTTCGTTCAAACTTCATTATGCCTCTTAAACATTAATTATAACTGCTTAAGTTGAGTGAACATTTGCTCATTAACTTGCTAGTGATAATTGTAATGATGATAGTTTGCTTAATTATACATATTAGAAAAAAAAAAAAAATTGTAAAAAAAAAAAAAAAATCTGAAAATTGCCAAAAAAAAACCTTATATATATATCTTGTTGATCATTTGTATGATTTTGATTTGCAGATCTTCTATCACTATCATGTGATTAAGATCTATCTTGTGATCATTGTCGTAATCAATATCTTGAAGAATGTTGTTGAAACAGGGATACTAATCGATTATGATCGCTATAGCGAAATCTATAGTAAAATCTTGATTCATAGTAGGAGAAAAGGTGGTGAGTTATGAATTCATAACAGAAGTGAGTGGAGGATGGTTGGTGTGATTAATGTCAGTTACTTATATTTGAAAATATTTGTTGAATACTTATAATGCTTCTAGATGTTGAATCAAAAGAAGAACCATCATTGTTAAGATTGGGTGGTTGATGAGGTTTAGCAATATCATTATTATCATAGTTTAAAATTTGGGAGAAGTTGGATTGTGAATGAGTAATAGGTCTAGTGGAATATAATAGTATAATATTTCTGAGTGCGTTGACCATTTTCAAAAATTTGCTTATCAAAATTTTTTTTATTATTATCTTTTGTGTTAAGCTTGTATTTATATTTAATGAACTATTGTGCAAAAAGAAAAAAATTAATATCTAACAATGTCAACCACTTATGATAAAAGAAAATATAATAACACAAAAATACTTATTTATATAAAATTTATTCATGTTATTAAATATAAAGTATAGTAATGCAAAAATATTTATTTTAATAAAATTTTTTTTTTTTTATAGTCAAGGTTAGCCTCTTTGATTTATCACTTTTATTAGATTATAGAATTATATGGTGCCTTTTTCAAGGGGATCCCAGACAAGTACATTCTGACGAGAGTATATTTTAATCATACTTGTATCTTTTGAGCGTCTAATTAAGTATCTATCTATTACTAGGTTCTATATTAGATGTTATACCTATAATCCACTATTACTTGAGTTACCTAATTAAACCCTCTGATCTGAGGTTCCTCTTTAGTGAATATATCCAATGACATAAAGTTGATTAAAGAGTTTAATTGGGTTATTTGGAACTATTTAGGATGCCTTCACCTAATAAAGGTAAATCAAGTGGAAACCCAAGATGCCCGGAATGTGGCAATCATTATGTAGATATACACAGACATGTTAGAAGGATTCATAGGACAGATTTAAGCTCATTAAACCAACTAGTTTTTCAAAGAAAAAACAAACCCCCAAAAAATAATCCATATCAAACTACGACTAGAAAAGAAAGAAGAAATGAAATATTATATAACAAATCCCAATTACTTAAACTAATTGATGGATATGTTAGGGTTCTTCGTAATCAAAAACGAAATGGACTTGAAAACAGTAGTTTAATAAATGAAGAAATTAAATGGTTCAACAATTTGAGAGTGCATACTAAAGATTTGGATAAGAACGATCTTTCACTTTTTAAATCGAAATATTCAGATTTTAATAAAGAAAAATATGAGAGTAAAAAAAAAATTGAAAGGTTTGTGTTTTTTTTTATCATAAGTATTTTTAAGTATTAACTATTTATTATTGATATATCTTTACCTAGATTACTTAAAGAAGTCCACGATCTTGACTCAAACTTCAAGAAGTTAAAAACACACTCAAAGAGATTGAACGAATTGCTAGAAAAATAACGCACCTGAACATCTAATTAAGGATTGCAGCAAAATTATCGTTGTACAAAAACAGTACAGAATCAGTAACGATAATAGAACTTGATCAAAAGAATGAAGAAATCAATAAATTGACAAAAAGTGGTTCTGATTTAAACTTGGCCAATGAGACTAAGGATACCATGATCATATCCTTAGAAGCTCAAGTAATTTTTTGAATTCAATAAGAAGTAAAAATTATTGATTAATATATTTTCATATTTTTTTTAATCTTTTCATATTTTTAATAATAGATTAAAGCATTAAAGAGCGAAGCCGAAGTTTTAAGAATTAATTTTGATTTGGCAGATTCTGAAAGGAGTAGAAATGCAACAAATGTAAATTAATAATTTTAATACTTTTTAATATACTTTATAAAAATTTCTTATATTGTTATTCGCATTTTTGTAGATGTATGATTTGGAATTGAAATTAAATGATGTGAATAATAAACATTCTAATTTAGTGGAAGATCATAAACTCGAAACACAATGGAGTGACCAAAAAGAAACCGACCTTCATAAACAGATTGACCTTTTAAAACATCGGATCGAGGAGTTAGAATCTTCTTTAGGTGAAATTACAAAGTGTTATTAATAAGAGTAAATATCTTGCGGATCAAAACGAAACAATTGGAATAATTGATGATTTTAAGGATATTCTATAGAATAGGTGGGCAATATAAGAAATAAGCTTCGCTAATGATTAGTAATCAATAATTTTTTAATATCGGAGTTGCTGAGGTTTTGGAGTTTGCTCACCTATTCTATAGAACATCCCGATCAACTTTGCCTACTCAGATGGATGACTTAAGTGATACTGCATGCTTAGATGTCACAACTCTTTTAAATGCACAACTCATTTAAATGACAAACGACCAGAATATATGCAGTCACGTACATCAACATACGTAGTTAAACTTCAAAAATTTCCAGGCTCACAAAATTCTTTAAAGTTTTTAAATGAAGTAAGCCAATTTCAGTATTATGTACAATTTGCTTAAATTTGATACTTATATATATTTTTTATAATTAGTTTAAGAACTATTTGCAATCAAATAACGGTAATAGCAAACTTGAAATATATAGATTAATTTAAAATACAATAACTAACGAATACATGTTGGTGTTTAATGACATTGATAAAAAGGAAAGTATATGTGCACGTTGTAACTGATATGATATGCATAATATGTCAGAAGAATGGTGCCAGTTATGCGACCCTTTTAGAACGATTCAAGGGCGGATAAACGTGAATAATAATGATTCTATGAATCTAAGTCGATATGGAAGATGCGCATATTGTCAACAATTTAATACATTAAAAGCTTGGTGCCAATTATGCGACACTTATAGAACAATTCAAGGGTGGACGAGCGGATATAAACACATTGACAATTGTATTAAAGAATTTCAATTTAAATCCACAAAATACGAACAAGTGATTGAGTGGATCCCTTTTAATAGACTAGTTAATATTTGTAAGATTCATGATGGCAAATTTGATCTAGCAACCTGGTTGGATGGTAATAATCTCGAACGGACACACAAAATACGAACAATCACGTACACCAAGATGTACAGTTAACTTCAAGTTTTTTCTGGTTCATGGAATCCTTTAGATTTTTTAAATGAAGTAAGCTAGTTTATTATTATGTAATAAGTGACTTTGTCAAATTAATACTTATTTACGCGCATTTATTATTAAAAGTTTAAGAATTGTTTACGTTTGGGTGACAGGAAGCTTGAAATATATGGATTTACTCAAAATACAGCAACTAATGAATATATATAAGGATTTGATTATATTTATAAAAGAAATGATAAATATGGAATATGCGAATATTGTAGTCAATATAATATATCAGAAGCTTGGTATCATTAATGTGATCCTTATATAACAATTCAAGGGTTGACAAGTGGTGACAAAAATATTGATAACTTCAGCAAAGAATTTCAGCTTAAAGCCACAAAATATGAAAATGTAATTAAATGGATCCCTTTTAATAAACTATACAGCTTTATAGAAATTGGTAAAGGTGAATTCTGTTCGGCAAAGTGGTCAAATGGCAAACGAATAATTACTAGCGAATATAAATATTCATATGATAAACAAAAAATAATCAATTATACAAGGTCACGGATATCAAAGTATGAAGTTAAACTCCGTACTTTACCAGGTTCTTCGAATTTATTAGAGTTTTTGAAAGAAGTAAGTAAAATACGATGTGTATGTTATTAATTGTCGGGAATGATGCTGAAAATTTGGGGCCCTTAATTTGAAAATATGAACTCTACTAAATCCACCTATACTCTTTTACTATGTACACTAACCCTAAATTCTAACCTAAGTATAAAAAAAACTCCAAATAAGTCAAAATTTCAGCATCATCCGATTATAGCATCATCCCCAACATTAATTAGTTCATATATTGATATGGTTTTTTATAATTTTTTGATTTATAAGTTTAAAAATCAAATGCAAATAAAAATAATGTGATTAAAATATATGGAATAACACAGTTTACAACTAATGATAAGTATGATAAATATGATGAATATATGATGGTATTTGAAAACATAGAGGATGATGATATTATGTGATCCCTACAGAATAAATCAGAAATGGACAAGTGGAAATAAATGTATTGATGATTGTATTAAAGAATTTCAACTCATTGCTACTGAATATGGAAAAGCAATTAAATGGATTCCTTTTAATAAACTAAACAAAATAGAAGAGATTGCTAAAGGAGGATTCAGTACTGTATCTTCAACAGAATGGAAACAAAATAAACATCTACGTCCAAACGAAAGGCCCACAAAAATTGCACTCAAAACTTTACCTGGATCCCACAAAATCCTACAAATTTTATAAAGGAAGTAAGTTAAATATTACACAAATTAATTATTTATTATGTCATATACTGGATGTAAAACTACTTTATACAAATCTATTTTAGTTCAAGAATCATGAGTTGCAGATTAAGTGGCAGCTACCTTGCAGTATACGGACTGACTCAGAATACAGAAACAAAAGAATATATGATGGTACTTCAATATGTTAACAAAGGAACCCTTCACAATTATCTGGCATCAAATTTTCATGAGCTTTTCTGGGAAGACAAGTTATCAATATTAATTGATATATCAAAAGATTTAGCTAAAATCCACAAAGCAATTGTGACCAGCATAGCGGGCTTTATTATGATTGGTTGATTTTGAAGATCATCTCATCATATTAAAGTCTTATTAAAGTAACGA